CAGACCCTAGGCAGATTTTAGGGGGGTGTGTGTGTGTGTGTGTGTGTTTTGGTTTTTTTTTTTTTTTTTTTTTTTTTTTTTGGAAGACAAGTCTTACTCTGTCACCCAGGCTGGAGTACAGTGGCATAACCACTGAAGCCTTAAAATTCCTAGGCTCAAGCAATCCTCTCAGCTCAACCTCCCAAGTAGCATGTGCCACCACACCCAGCTAAGTTTATTAAAATTTTTTTCTAGAGATGGGGTCTTACTATGTTGCCCAGGCTAGTCTTGAACTCTTGGCTTCAAATGATCCTTCCACCTCAGCCTCCCAGAGTGCTGGGATTACAGGCATGACCCACCATGCCCAGTTGGTTTCTGTATTTAAAGGTGAGAGATACAGAGCCAGGTGGCAGAGCAAGGCATGGTGGCTTACACCTGTATTCCCAGCTACTTAGGAGGCTGAGGCAGGAGGATCACTTGAGACCAGGAGCTCAAGTTTATCCTAGGCAACATATTGAGACCCTGTCTCGACAAAAATTAATTTTTTTAAATTAGCCAGGTGTGGTGGTATGCATTTGTAGTCCCAGCTACTCAGGAGGCTGAGATGGGAGGATCACTTGAGCCCAGGAGTTCGAGGCTATAGTGAGATATGATCGTGCCACTCACACCAGCCTGGTTGACAGTAAGACCCTGTCTCCACAAAAAAAAAAAAAAAAAAAAAATTGAATTTTTAAAAATCCAGGTGACAAGGGAATTTTATTTATAAAATGAGATAAAAGTTACCCAGGCAGGGGCACATGTTCTCAGGACCTCCTGAGGGCTGTGTCATGGGCAAAAGTTTAAATTTAAAAAAAATTTTTTAAATAAAAGACAAAAGTTACCCAGGTATAATAAAAGATAACCTAATTAAAGGATGGGCAAAGGGCTTGAGTAGACATTTCTCTAAAAAGCCAGTAAGCACAGAAAATGATGCTCAACATCTGATCATTAGGGGAATGCAAATCAAAACTACACTGAAATAGCACTTCATAGCCATTAGGCTACTATCAGAGAAACAGACAAGTGTTGGGGAGGATGCAGAGAAAGTGGAACCCTGTGCCCTGTTGGTGGGAATACAAAATGATGCAGCCACTGTGGAAAACCGTCTGGCAACAGTTCCTCAAGAAATGTAAGATAGAATTACCATAGGATCCAGCACTTCCACATCTGGGTATACACCCAAAAGAACTGAAAGCAGGGTCTGAAATATGTTCTGAAATATGTACATGCCTATGTGCATAGCAGCATTACTCATAATACCCAAAATTTGGGAGCAACCTAAGTATCCACTGACAGATGAATAGCTAAGCAAAATGTGGCAGATGCATACAATGGAATGTCATTCAGCCTTACAAAGGAAGGACATTATGCTGAGTGAAATAAGCTAGTCACAAAAAGACATGCACTGTATGATTCCACTTATATGAGTTACTCAAAATCCGGTGGCCCACGCCTGTATTCCCAGCATTTTGGGAGGCCGAGGCAGGCAGATCACAAGGTCGAGAGTTCGAGACCAGACTGACCAATATGGTGAAACCCGTCTCTACTAAAAATACAAAAATTAGGTGGGCGTGGTGGCAGGCACCTATAATCCCAGCTACTCAGGAGGCTGAGGCAGGAGAATTGCTTGAACCCGGTAGGCAGAGGTTACAGTGAGCTGAGATTGTGCCACTGCACGCTAGCCTGGGCGACAGAGCGACACTCCGTCTCAAAAATATATATATATTTAAAATCATAGAGACAGAAAGTAGAATGAGGTTGACAGGGGCTAGGGGAAGCAGAATGGAAAGTTACTGTTTAATGGGTATAAAATTTCAGGTTTTGTTACAAAACAACAAGAGATTTGGAAATAAATGGTGGGGCTGTTTTTCACAACATTATGAATGTATTTAAAACCACTGGACTATGTATTTTTAAATGGCTAAGATGATAAGTTTTATGTTATATGTATTTTACCATGGTAAAAACAATAGGAGAAAAAAGTTACCCAGGGCAAGACATACGACTTACATCTTTTATTTTTTTCACTAGTGAAGAAGAAAAAAACGAGCCACTTTCTCTGCCTGAATTAACCAAGAGGCTTACAGAGGCAAATGAGAGAATGGCGAAATTTCCTGAGAGTGTTAAGGTAAGAGTTGAAGCAACTCACTTGGTGAAGCATTACTTTTTGTGTTATCACTTGAGTATGCCACATTCTTATAGATCATCTACCTCTCTGTTCAGTTTCTAAAATGTCTACCCATTCATACATGCTTAAAAATATAGAATCCAATTACTTTGATTAGCTGGAATGTTTTGTGAGAGTGGCATTATTGATCACACAAGCAGTTTTATACCTTAGTCTTCAGAGAAACCAAATACATTTAATAGGTCAGAAGTAAAATTTAAATTGGTGCCATGTATTAGATAGCTTACAGATGGACAGGTCTTTTTGGTTGTGGGCCCAAATAGTAATGGAAGCACCGTTTTTAAGGGTTGAGTTACATAGGGCCGTAGAAAAAGATTGTGCCGTTGAGAAGGACTTCCCAGTAGCCATCCCGGTTTCGAGTGTCATCTTTCCTTGGAGTAACTGTTGAAGAGAAAGGACATTGCCTTAGGAGAGAACTGGCTCAGCTGTGTCCAAGAAGTGTCTGTAGGTGAACCTGAGTTACGGGTGCCTTCTGAACAGATGTTTGTGGCTCTTTTGCAAACGTTTCCTTATTCATCCTCTTGTCATCTTTCAGGCCTGGCCCTTCCCAGATGTGCTGGAGTGCTGCCTCGTCTTGCTTCTCATCGGGTCCCACTTTCCTGACTGTCTGACCCAGGAAATGCAGCAGCAGGCCCAAGAGCTCCTTCAGAAATATAGCAACACTAAAACTTACAAAAGGCACCGCCAGACCTTCTGTACATGAATTTTCACAACCTTGAAGAAACTGCCAAATTGAAAATGTTTGACACCTTTCACTTCTGCAGTTACACCGCATCAGACATTCACTCTGGTCCCTGATGTTTTTGCAGTAATCCAAAAGAATGCAAATGAGGGTTAAGTTTGAATCAACTCTACGTAGCAATAGACACAGTGGATCTGACTTTAGATTCAATTGTAGTCTCCTCCTGGAGGGAAGATCATGAAAAGCTAGCAGTTGTTACTGAGAACAAACACCTGCAAAGTGTTGGTCATCTCTAAAGCCTTATGCAGGTTTCACCCAAAGAGGAGAAACTTCTGTCATCACCTAAAGTGTTATGTGCTTAAAACACAAGCTACCTTTATAAATACTTCATCTGATCAGAAACATGTCATGCTTGAGATGGAGTTGCTGCATTTTATGACTACCTTTTTTAAATTGTTTTTATAATATTTAATTTGAAAGAAGAGAACCTTCCCCCTCTACTCTTTCATAGATTGAAGTTTGAATATGAAATAGGCCTTAACCATCATGTTGACTCTCCTGTCTGCATTTTAGGTTGGAAATTTGGTTTTTTTGTTTTATGTAATTGCTTATTTGAACAGATCACTTACTAAAGCTTTGGAAGAAGTGATTCAAATATGTGTTTTCCCTTCAGTTTTGTAAGAAATGGATTGATGGCAGTGAAATAGCTTGGGAATAAATTACTGTTTTAATGGTTCTTAAACTTTCTTGGATCATAGGATCCTTTTGAGAATCAGATTAAAGCCACAGATACTCTTTGGAGAAAAATGCATATTCCTAATTTTGCATAGATGACCTTTGGATTATTGGACTCCAACTACTGGGACCCTAAATACTATTTAATTACAAATCTTTTTTCTCTCCTCCTTCATTATTTAAACAGTTGAACAGTGTCAGGAACCGATATTTCTGTAATATCACAGTTGCTAGGGTTGGAAAATCAGAATCTGACATCGGTATGGAAAGAAGCACTTCTTCCAGATAATTGAACTGTTTTCCTCTGGGATTCACTGTGAAGGCCTTTCTGCTCAAGTGTGTAGTTTATTTTTCAATTAATTCCTAGGATTGGGGTTGTTGGGATGGTAAGAATGAAATTCATTTACAGTTAGTCCCAGGAAGGAAGAAGTTTGAGACAGTTTTTAAAGGCATATATGTGCCTAGCATTAGAGTTTGGCAAACTCAAAAAAGGGAAATACTGTAGATCCTTACAGTTCTTTATACAGTTAAGTGAACTTTAGGAAGATGATGCTTTGTTACTAGGGATGGAGAATCTTTCTTGATTAAAAGATATAAATAGGCATGGCTAGCTAGAGAACTGGGCACCAGTTCTGCAAACTGCTAAAATGAACTTTACTTAGAGAGGTGGAAAAAATATATTCCCCTCCACTTGAGTAAACAGCAGTATTGTTAACTAGAATTCTAAATTCCATTATGATCTGTCAGAAGCATCACCTGTGGATGGAGGAGTCCTGCACACTCCTCAGTTACTGCTTTGGTAAGAACAAGATTTACTATTTGTGGCCGGGTGTTGTGGCTCATGCCTGTAATCCCCAACACTTTGGGAGACCAAGGCAAGTGAATCACTTGAGGACAGGAGTTTGAGACCAGCCTGGCGAACATAGCAAAACCTTGTCTCTAGTAAAACCACAAAAAATTAGCTAGGTGTGGTGGCACACACCTGTAATCCCAACTACTTGGGAGGGTAAGGCACAAAAAATCACTTGAACTTGGGAGGCGAAGATTGCAGTGAGCCAAGGCTACTGCATTCCAGCCTGGGTAACAGTGAGACCCTGTCTGTTAAAAAAATATATATATATTATTTGAAAATAAGCAATAAAAATGACAAGTCAATTTTTTTTTTTTTTTCTGTTGGCTGAAGCAGAATTGCTTTGAGATGGAGCCTTGCTTTGTTGCCCTGCCTAGAATGCAGTGATGTGACCTTGGCTCACTGCAACCTCCGTCTCCCATCTTCAAGCAATTCTGCTTCAGCCTCCTGAATAGCTGGGATTACAAGTACCTGCCACCACATCTGGCTAATTTTTGTATTTTTAGTAGAAATGGGGTTTCACCATCTTGGCCAGGCTGGTCTCAAACTCCTGACCTCGTGATCCACCTGCCTTGGCCTTGGCCTCCCAAAGTGCTGGGATTACAGGCGTGAGTCACCACACCCAGCCTGAAAAGTCAATTTTTTAAAGCCCTTTCTTCTTTCCAATACTGTATAATGTATGCAAGCTATTATAATTTGAAAAAATTTTTAATTTATAGCTCCCTAATTATCAGAACCACAAAGAGCCAAAGCACCAAGTTAACTTTCTGAGTGAAAAGGATACATCACTAAAGCAATTTTTTTTTTTTTTTTTTTTTGAGATGATGTCTCACTCTGTCACCAGGCTGGAGTGCAGTGGCACAATCTCAGCTCACTGCAGTCTCCGCCTCCCAGCTTCAAGCAAGTCTCCTGCCTCAGCCTCTCAAGTAGCTGGGACTACAGGCACATGCCACTATGTCCGGCTAATTTTTGTATTTTTAGTAGAGATGGGGTTTCACCATGTTGGCCAGGATAGTCTCAATCTCTTGACCTCATGATCCGCCCACCTCAGCCTCCCAAAGTGCTAGGATTTTAGGCATGAGCCACTGCTCCCGGCAAGCAATTTCTTTGGGTTCTTTATCCTCATCTAAAGTAATCTAATGCCTCTCCTCTACCTCCCCAGGAGTCCAAACCACCATCCCATTACCCAGATGACGGCATTGGCCTCCCCATGTTTCTCTGAATCTGCTCTTCCTAGTTCTACATTCTTCACATTGGCAGTGACTGCTAAATCACAAATCAGAGTTCCTCAATTCCCTGTTTAAAAACCTTTCGGTAGTTTCCGATTGCTCTTGGATAAAAATCTTAAACGTGGTTTACCCAAGACTAACCCTAGCCTTTACAAACTCTTTGCCTCCTATCAAGAATTGAGCTCATTCTGGCCGGGCGCGGTAGCTCAAGCCTGTAATCCCAGCACTTTGGGAGGCCGAGGTGGGTGGATCACAAGGTCAAGAGATCGAGACCATCCTGGTCAACATGGTGAAACCCTGCCTCTACTAAAACTACAAAAAATTAGCTGGGCATGGTGGTGCGTGCCTGTAATCCCAGCTACTCAGGAGGCTGAGGCAGGAGAATTGCCTGAACCCAGGAGGCGGAGGTTGCGGTGAGCTGAGATCGCGCCATTGCACTCCAGCCTGGGTAACAAGTGCGAAACTCCGTCTCAAAAAAAACAAAAAAAAAAGAAAAGAAAAAAAGAATTGAGCTCATTCATACCAGCACTGGCTAACAACTAGGCTTGTGGTTGGTAGTCACCCTTCTTGGATTAGCAGAACACTGGAATTCAAGAATATTTGGCAGTATAGATGGAGGAACTGAATTGTGCTCAGTTGCCTGGTGCTATGGTGCACACCTATAGTCCTAGATACTAGGGAGGCTGAATCAGAAGGATTGCTTGAGGCCGAGAGTTCAGGGCCAGCCTGAGCACGTAGCAAGCTCCCATCTCTATAAATAATAAACAAAATTTTAAAAATGAATTACAGCTGGGCACAGTGGCTCACGCCTGTAATCCTAGCACTTTTCCATAAGCCTTTAAAATCACCTGAGGTCAGGAGTTCAAGACCAGCCTGGCCAACATGGAGAGACCCCGTCTATTAAAAATACAAACATTAGCTAGGCATGGTGGCACATGTTTGTAATCTCAGCTACTCAGGAGGCTGAGGCAGGAGAATTGTATGAATCCGGGAGGCAGAGGTTGCAGTGAGCCGAGATTGTGCAGCTGCACTCGAGTCTGGGCAATGGAGCAAGACTCCATCTAAAAAAAAAGAAAAAATTACAAGTCTGGCATGGTGGCTCATGCCTGTAATAGCACGTTGGGAGGCCATGACAGGCAGATCACTTGAGGTTAGGAGTTTGACACCAGCTTGCCCACATGGTGAAACCCCCATCGCTGCCAAAAAATGTAAAAATTAGCTGGGTGTGGTGGCATGGGGCCTGTAGTCCCAGGTACTCGGGTGGGTGAGGTTGCAGTGAGCCAGGATTATGCCACTGAACTCCAGCCTGGACAACAGAGTGAGACCCTGTCTTAAAAAAAAAAAAATACCAAAACAAAAAAGAATTACACCTGAAATTATTCTCTTCGTTACCCTACAGTGCCATCCCTTTTTAAGGATGAGCACTTACACATGCACTCATACAAGTTCTTGCCAGTTCTAATAGACTTGTGCTCTTTCTTGCTAAACCACTACTCTTAAGTTCTTAACTTTCACATTCAATGACCAAACCCTACACTCAACACTGAGTTCCTCAGCCCTTTTTCTCAGCATTTTTCCTGACATGTAAGTCCTTAATTGTAGAAAATATTAAAACCTGTTTTAATTCAAATTTGGAAGAGTATCTGCATAGGGCTCACAGTCACCAGCATGCCAGGGCACCCTCGTTGAGAACCACTAACTGCTGTTTCACCACAAATTATACTAGTAAATCTCTGTGTCAACTTCCCAGTCAAAATTCCGTATCTGCCCCTGTATTAGACTCCTTAAAACCCCACATCTTGTGTCAATAGAAATGGGTGGAAACAAAGTCTTGAGCCGATTGTAGGACAGCTGAAGTTCAGGTTGTTTAAAAGAATCCTACTAATCAACAAGCTGATCCACCACATATAATGGAGTGACCCCAGAAAATATTGGTTTAATTCTGTAATACTAAGACCCAACAATCTTGAGTATGAAGAGGCAATTCCATTTACACAGGTGCTCATGAAAAGCTTCCTACCAAGTGATATTTTGTATGTAAGCCAACTTGGGGACAATGAAGGCAAGATGCTCTTATGTCACTGATGGCAAATGACCATCTTCCAGAGTTAGCAATCCATAGCTACGAAAGACCAAACCTTAATGCCAGTGGTTAAAAAGAAATCTTTATTTTACAAAATTAAAAACATAAATAATATTTACAATCATCTTAAATACCAGCTTATAATACTTGACATTTTTGAATCATTTCAAATTGAGTTTTCCATAAGCTTTTAAAATGCAAAACCATTCATTCATTTCAGCGAGTTACCAGTTTTTATTTCTACCAATCCAAAAGGGGTTTTGGTTTTTTGAAATTGTCCATACTGTAGTCATTCAAAAAAATATAGTATACTTTTTAAATGACTAGCTTTAAAAAAAAAAAAAGTCCTGAGCTTCCTACCCCAGTTGTGGGATATTACTCCAAAACAACTCAAGAACCCAAATTATCTTACTGCCTGTTTACATGTAACTACTCTAGCTTTTTAAAGACATAGTCCTGGTACTCACATTAATCCATCTCCCTAATGTTTCAGGTTTGCTAGAAGGAAAAGCAGGAAAAATAGAGAAGTGGGAGAATCCAGATGACCAGCTGAAATCACATTATTGAAAGTACAAAAGACATGACCCAAAAATCTGATCTTAACTAGTTTCCTTCAGGATCAAATCCAGGATATTATACAAAAATTTCAAATGACTTCAGATGACGTATATGTGACAGCAAACCTCAGTGGCACAAAGGAACACACAGACTTAAAGACGCTTCAGTGGTCAACATTCATTCTGGAGTTCTCATGAATGAAGGGTAGACAGATTCAGTAAATTGTTTGCTTTTGTTTCATTATCTGGTCTTCAAATTTCAGCACTGAGCAATTCATTTCCATACAGTAATAAGTAAAGAAAGACTATGAAAGTGCGAGGAAAGCAAATGTCTTCGAGAAGGGTTAGAAAAGGAAAGGAAGACTCAGTATCAGTAACTCATTACACAAGAACACCATTTTGTTCCATTTTCCCTGGAAGCCCTCAGCTCAGCTGAGAATCAGAGCAAGAATCTTCATTATCAGAGTAGCAACAAATTTTTTAAAAAAAGAATGACAACAGGTAAGAGTTATATACATTTTACTAGTTTGTTTCAGACTTGTCCTGGATATTTAAAAAGGTGTCAAATGAGCCATGGATGCTGGTGGCAAGAGGCAACTGGAGAGGAGAGACTTGGG